TACTAGTACATTCAAAATCTGGCATGAAAGGCTAGGGCATCCAGGTTCAGTCATGATGAGAAAAATTGTGCAAAACTCAAATGGCCATCCGTTGAAATACGGGAAAATTTTAGAAACGGGCGAGTTCATATGTAATGCATGTTCTCAAGGAAAACTCATAACTCGGCCATCACCAGCGAAAGTTGGGAATGAATCCCTGTGTTCTTAGAGAGAATACACGGTGATATATGTGGGCCTATTCACCCACCATGCGGACCGTTTCAATACTTTATGGTATTAATTGACGCATCAAGTAGATGGTCACATGTGTGTCTTTTGACAACACGAAATACGGCTTTCGCAAGATTCATTGCCCAAATAATCAGGTTGAGAGCACAATTCCCTGATTATACTATTAAGAAAGTGAGATTAGATAACGCTGGTGAATTCACTTCACAGCCTTTAATGACTATTGCATGTCATTGGGAATCGATGTTGAGCATCCGGTTCCACATGTCCATACACAAAATGGCATGGCTGAGTCTTTGATTAAACGGTTGCAACTGATTGCAAGACCGTTAATAATGAGAACAAAACTCCCAATTTCTATATGGGGTCATGCTATTTTGCATGCTGCAGCGTTGCTCCAAATACGACCAAGTGCTTATAATATATATTCCCCATTACAGTTAGCATCTGGTCAGGAGCCAAACGTATCCCATCTCCGTGTTTTTGGTTGTGCGGTTTATGTTCCGATAGCACCGCCACAAAGAACAAAAATGGGGCCACAAAGGAGATTGGGAATATACGTTGGGTATACGTCACCGAGTATTATTCGGTATCTTGAACCTCAAACTGGTGATATGTTTACGGCACGTTTTGCCGATTGCCATTTTAATGAAGATGAATTTCCAGCGTTAGGGGGAGGAATTAAAGAGGTTCCAAAAGACCTCACATGGTGTACACCGAATTTGTTACACTTTGATCCCCCGACAAAACAACGCGAATTGGAAGTTCAGAAAATTATACATTTACAAAATATGGCAAATCAATTACCAGATTCGTTCACAGATACAAAAAGAGTGACGAAATCATATATACCCGCTGCAAACGTTCCATCAAAGATAGATGTTCTAAGGAACAAAATGATGGAAGCATAGCAAATGCACCCAAAGTCCAATTAAAGAGGGGGAGGCCGATGGGCTCTAAAGATAAAAATCCCCGAAAGAAAAAGAATTTGGGAGAAAAGGTTCAAGAAGAACCTTGTAAAGAAATATGTCCTGAAGACATAAACAAACTGGTTTTTGAAGAACCAGAGAAAGAGATTCGTCCAGAAGACGAACATGATACAGAAAAATTTGAGATTTCCATCAACTTCGCCCAAAATGGAAAAGTATGGACAAGAAATGAAATAGAAGATGATGATGGAATATTCTCTTTTTCTGTATACAAAGAGATCGATCATGAAAGTGATGATCCAGATCCAGAAACAATATCAGAGTGTCTGAAAAGACCTGATTGGGAGAAATGGAAAATGGCCATCCAAGCTGAATTACTCTCCCTCAATAAAAGAAGTGTTTTTGGACCTATTGTCACAACTCCTGAGAATACAAAACCCGTCGGGCACAAATGGGTTTTTGTAAGAAAAAGAAATGAGAAAAATGAGGTCACAAGATATAAAGCCCGACTTGTGGCTCAAGGTTTTTCTCAAAGACCGGGAATTGATTATGAAGAAACATATTCCCCGGTAATGGATGCCATAACATTCAGATTTTTGATGAGCTTAGCAGCGTCTCAAAATCTTGAAATGTATCTCATGGATGTTGTGACAGCATATCTATATGGATCTCTTGAAAATGAGATATATATGAAAATCCCAGAAGGATTAAAAATGCCTGAGGATTTGAAATCAAAGGCTAAGGAGATCTGTTCGGTCAGATTACAGCGATCACTTTATGGACTAAAACAGTCCGGACGCATGTGGTATAATCGCTTAAGTGAATATTTGTTGAGTAAAGATTACGTCAACAATGCGATATGCCCTTGCGTATTCATTAAGAAATCCTCCTTAGGATTTGTGATTATTGCTGTATATGTAGATGACCTGAACATGATTGGAACTCAAAAGGAAATTGATGATGCAAGAACTCATATGAAAGAAGAGTTTGAAATGAAAGATCTTGGAAAGACAAAGTTTTGTCTTGGGCTCCAGATAGAGCATTTCCAAGATGGTATATTTGTGCATCAGTCAAATTACACTAAAAGAGTGTTAAAACGCTTTTATATGGACAAAGCAACTCCTTTGAGTACTCCAATGGTTAATAGATCTCTTGATGTTGAAAAGGATCCATTCCGTCCTTGTGAGGATAACGAGGAAGTGTTAGGTCCTGAAGTACCTTACATGAGCGCTATTGGTGGACTAATGTATCTTGCAAATTGCACTAGACCAGATATAGCATTCGCTACTAATCTGCTTGCAAGATATAGTTCGTCCCCTACGCGCAGACATTGGAATGGAATAAAACATATTTTTCGTTATCTTCAAGGATCAATTGATTTAGGATTATTTTATCCTAAAAAAATCAAAATGTGTTTTAGTTGGTTTTGCTGATGCAGGATATCTATCAGATCCACACAAAGCTAGATCACAAACAGGTTATGTTTTCACAATTGGTGGAACCGCGGTCTCCTGGCGTTCGCAAAAGCAAACTTTGGTTGCAACGTCTTCAAATTATGCAGAAACTATTGCTCTCCATGAAGCATGTAGAGAGTGTGTGTGGCTCCGGTCTATGACTCAACATACAAGAATCAAGTGGAATAGTCACAGAGAAAGAGCCAACAAAAATATTTGAAGACAATTCTGCATGTGTCACACAACTCAAAGAAGGTTATATCAAGAGTGACAGAACGAAGCATATTCCTCCAAGATTTTTCTCATACACTCAAGAACTCCAGAAAAATCAAGAAGTGGACATCGAGTATATTCGTTCAAGTGACAATGCAGCCGATCTTTTTACAAAGGCGCTTCCTACTACAGTGTTCAAGAAGCATGTTCACAGTATTGGAATGCGTCGTCTACAAAACTTGTGAAAAGAAAAGATTCTATCTTTTCCAGGGGGAGATTATGCTACGGTACTCTTTTTCCTAAGTCATAGTTTTTATCCCATTGGGTTTTTCTATGACATAGGTTTTTTAACGAGACCGTACATAATACATTCGGATAATTAAGGGGGAGTGTTAGAAAGGATAATTATCCATCAATAATATTTATTATCTTACTATGTAAGTTTTCTTCACCTCTTAAGTTACCGACTTAAGCTTTTGACAAATATTTTATTGTTTTCCTTGCACTATAAATACGTGTACTTGGCATTTGTAAGAATCCATCATAAGTTCAATAAGAACTAAAACACTTCTTCTCACCACGTAATATTCTCTCCTGCCTCTCCATAATAGAAAGTCTCTCTACCTCATCTCCCTCTCTCTTTGTAATCCTCTCTCTACTGCAGCTTCTTCTTTTATTAAATACATACATCCATTATACATAATATACTAGTAAAGTACCCGCACGTTTGTGCGGTGTGATGTTGCGGTTTAGTGAAGAAAATCTAATCCTTAACCTCAAATCTAACCTCAAAATGTATCACTTCATGAAATAAAAAATTGGGTATTTGTACTATTAAAATTGAAGTATATGTGGTTTTTGTGGTTTTTCATGAAAACCGTATGGAAAAACCAAACAAAACTTGTTAAAAACCTTTCTTTTGTAAACCCAACAATTTGAAAATCCGAAATTCTTTAAATTTTAAAAAAAATTTAAAAACCTGGAAAAGCTCATACTAATTAAAATTTTAAATATACAGTTTTTATACTTTTATACCCGGAAATCCAAAATCCAAAAAACTTACCTTAAACCAACGTGAACCCAAAATCCTAAACCTACATAAAATTATGTTAAAATCTGAAAATTTTGTAGCTAACAAAATCCTAACAATGAATTGCATGTAATTAAAAATGACAGCATAAATCTGTGCCCGATATCTGAATTCGACCCAAAAAAAACTCGAACTGAATCCATTCCCAATTTCTTTTTAAAAACAAATCCAATCCAAATATTTTTTATATCTCTAAATCAATAAATCTAAAATTCGGGAAAACTTGTAAAACCTAAAATCCAAAAAATCAATAAAATGCATTTGATAAACTTACGTATAAGAAATATAATATTTTTTTTTAACAACAAAACTAATACTTTGGTGTAACAACATCCTAAGTCCTAACTAATACTTTGGTCTTCCTCGCTAAGACACGTCCTTCCTCCTAAGACACGTGGTGGAAAGTGAAAACAAATAAAGACAGTTAAATTGGTCCAGAAAAAAAAAACGCAAAAACAAAACAAAAAAAAACTTTACCTTCCTTTCCCCTTTCCCCTTTCCGAATGCTATGTAAGATCGATTGCTGTTTCTAAAGTCTACCTTCCTTTCCCATTTCTTACATTGCAAGCCAGCGATTGTCGCAGCATCGAGAAAACTCTATGAAAATTGTAATTCGAATTTGTCAAGTTTGTAAATCGAAAGATTCAGCAAAAAGAAAAGCTTGCGGCCAGAAAACAATTCATATATGAAGAGACTTAATCGTTGGCTATGTTTCCATCCGTTTATTTTTGGGGCCTTGAAGATGACGATTATCTTGGGGACCGGAAGAGGTAAGGAGTCCGAAATGTACCTCTGTGACTCCACATTGTGGAAACTCACTTGTAGTGTATAAGATGAACTAGATGGACCCATACTTATCCAAACATGGATTAATAGGTTCTACACATGACTATGAGGACAAACATGAGTGAAACGGTCTCAATCCAAGGGAGGAACATCAAATGGACCTAATTTGGGAACCGGAAGAGGTAAGGAGTCCGAAATGTACCTCTGTGACTCCACATTGTGGAAACTCACTTGTAGTGTATAAGATGAACTAGATGGACCCATACTTACCCAAACATGGATTAATAGGTTCTACACATGACTATGAGGACAAACATGAGTGAAACGGTCTCAATCCAAGGGAGGAACATCAAATGGACCTAATTTGGGAACCGGAAGAGGTAAGGAGTCCGAAATGTACCTCTGTGACTCCACATTGTGGAAACTCACTTGTAGTGTATAAGATGAACTAGATGGACCCATACTTACCCAAACATGGATTAATAGGTTCTACACATGACTATGAGGACAAACATGAGTGAAACGGTCTCAATCCAAGGGAGGAACATCAAATGGACCTTTGGGAACCTAAGGAGTTGAAATGGAACCGGAAGAGGTAAGGAGTCCGAAATGTACCTACTACATGTGACTCCACATTGGTAAGGAAAATGTACTCACATTGTAGTGTATAAGATGAACTAGATGGACCCATACTTACCCAAACATGGATTAATAGGTTCTACACATGACTATGAGGACAAACATGAGTGAAACGGTCTCAATCCAAGGGAGGAACATCAAATGGACCTAATTTGGGAACCGGAAGAGGTAAGGAGTCCGAAATGTACCTCTGTGACTCCACATTGTGGAAACTCACTTGTAGTGTATAAGATGAACTAGATGGACCCATACTTACCCAAACATGGATTAATAGGTTCTACACATGACTATGAGGACAAACATGAGTGAAACGGTCTCAATCCAAGGGAGGAACATCAAATGGACCTAATTTGGGAACCGGAAGAGGTAAGGAGTCCGAAATGTACCTCTGTGACTCCACATTGTGGAAACTCACTTGTAGTGTATAAGATGAACTAGATGGACCCATACTTACCCAAACATGGATTAATAGGTTCTACACATGACTATGAGGACAAACATGAGTGAAACGGTCTCAATCCAAGGGAGGAACATCAAATGGACCTAATTTGGGAACCGGAAGAGGTAAGGAGTCCGAAATGTACCTCTGTGACTCCACATTGTGGAAACTCACTTGTAGTGTATAAGATGAACTAGATGGACCCATACTTACCCAAACATGGATTAATAGGTTCTACACATGACTATGAGGACAAACATGAGTGAAACGGTCTCAATCCAAGGGAGGAACATCAAATGGACCTAATTTGGGAACCGGAAGAGGTAAGGAGTCCGAAATGTACCTCTGTGACTCCACATTGTGGAAACTCACTTGTAGTGTATAAGATGAACTAGATGGACCCATACTTATCCAAACATGGATTAATAGGTTCTACACATGACTATGAGGACAAACATGAGTGAAACGGTCTCAATCCAAGGGAGGAACATCAAATGGACCTAATTTGGGAACCGGAAGAGGTAAGGAGTCCGAAATGTACCTCTGTGACTCCACATTGTGGAAACTCACTTGTAGTGTATAAGATGAACTAGATGGACCCATACTTACCCAAACATGGATTAATAGGTTCTACACATGACTATGAGGACAAACATGAGTGAAACGGTCTCAATCCAAGGGAGGAACATCAAATGGACCTAATTTGGGAACCGGAAGAGGTAAGGAGTCCGAAATGTACCTCTGTGACTCCACATTGTGGAAACTCACTTGTAGTGTATAAGATGAACTAGATGGACCCATACTTACCCAAACATGGATTAATAGGTTCTACACATGACTATGAGGACAAACATGAGTGAAACGGTCTCAATCCAAGGGAGGAACATCAAATGGACCTAATTTGGGAACCGGAAGAGGTAAGGAGTCCGAAATGTACCTCTGTGACTCCACATTGTGGAAACTCACTTGTAGTGTATAAGATGAACTAGATGGACCCATACTTACCCAAACATGGATTAATAGGTTCTACACATGACTATGAGGACAAACATGAGTGAAACGGTCTCAATCCAAGGGAGGAACATCAAATGGACCTAATTTGGGAACCGGAAGAGGTAAGGAGTCCGAAATGTACCTCTGTGACTCCACATTGTGGAAACTCACTTGTAGTGTATAAGATGAACTAGATGGACCCATACTTACCCAAACATGGATTAATAGGTTCTACACATGACTATGAGGACAAACATGAGTGAAACGGTCTCAATCCAAGGGAGGAACATCAAATGGACCTAATTTGGGAACCGGAAGAGGTAAGGAGTCCGAAATGTACCTCTGTGACTCCACATTGTGGAAACTCACTTGTAGTGTATAAGATGAACTAGATGGACCCATACTTACCCAAACATGGATTAATAGGTTCTACACATGACTATGAGGACAAACATGAGTGAAACGGTCTCAATCCAAGGGAGGAACATCAAATGGACCTAATTTGGGAACCGGAAGAGGTAAGGAGTCCGAAATGTACCTCTGTGACTCCACATTGTGGAAACTCACTTGTAGTGTATAAGATGAACTAGATGGACCCATACTTACCCAAACATGGATTAATAGGTTCTACACATGACTATGAGGACAAACATGAGTGAAACGGTCTCAATCCAAGGGAGGAACATCAAATGGACCTAATTTGGGAACCGGAAGAGGTAAGGAGTCCGAAATGTACCTCTGTGACTCCACATTGTGGAAACTCACTTGTAGTGTATAAGATGAACTAGATGGACCCATACTTACCCAAACATGGATTAATAGGTTCTACACATGACTATGAGGACAAACATGAGTGAAACGGTCTCAATCCAAGGGAGGAACATCAAATGGACCTAATTTGGGAACCGGAAGAGGTAAGGAGTCCGAAATGTACCTCTGTGACTCCACATTGTGGAAACTCACTTGTAGTGTATAAGATGAACTAGATGGACCCATACTTACCCAAACATGGATTAATAGGTTCTATGAGGACAAACATGAGTGAAACGGTCTCAATCCAAGGGAGGAACATCAAATGGACCTAATTTGGGAACCGGAAGAGGTAAGGAGTCCGAAATGTACCTCTGTGACTCCACATTGTGGAAACTCACTTGTAGTGTATAAGATGAACTAGATGGACCCATACTTACCCAAACATGGATTAATAGGTTCTACACATGACTATGAGGACAAACATGAGTGAAACGGTCTCAATCCAAGGGAGGAACATCAAATGGACCTAATTTGGGAACCGGAAGAGGTAAGGAGTCCGAAATGTACCTCTGTGACTCCACATTGTGGAAACTCACTTGTAGTGTATAAGATGAACTAGATGGACCCATACTTACCCAAACATGGATTAATAGGTTCTACACATGACTATGAGGACAAACATGAGTGAAACGGTCTCAATCCAAGGGAGGAACATCAAATGGACCTAATTTGGGAACCGGAAGAGGTAAGGAGTCCGAAATGTACCTCTGTGACTCCACATTGTGGAAACTCACTTGTAGTGTATAAGATGAACTAGATGGACCCATACTTACCCAAACATGGATTAATAGGTTCTACACATGACTATGAGGACAAACATGAGTGAAACGGTCTCAATCCAAGGGAGGAACATCAAATGGACCTAATTTGGGAACCGGAAGAGGTAAGGAGTCCGAAATGTACCTCTGTGACTCCACATTGTGGAAACTCACTTGTAGTGTATAAGATGAACTAGATGGACCCATACTTACCCAAACATGGATTAATAGGTTCTACACATGACTATGAGGACAAACATGAGTGAAACGGTCTCAATCCAAGGGAGGAACATCAAATGGACCTAATTTGGGAACCGGAAGAGGTAAGGAGTCCGAAATGTACCTCTGTGACTCCACATTGTGGAAACTCACTTGTAGTGTATAAGATGAACTAGATGGACCCATACTTACCCAAACATGGATTAATAGGTTCTACACATGACTATGAGGACAAACATGAGTGAAACGGTCTCAATCCAAGGGAGGAACATCAAATGGACCTAATTTGGGAACCGGAAGAGGTAAGGAGTCCGAAATGTACCTCTGTGACTCCACATTGTGGAAACTCACTTGTAGTGTATAAGATGAACTAGATGGACCCATACTTACCCAAACATGGATTAATAGGTTCTACACATGACTATGAGGACAAACATGAGTGAAACGGTCTCAATCCAAGGGAGGAACATCAAATGGACCTAATTTGGGAACCGGAAGAGGTAAGGAGTCCGAAATGTACCTCTGTGACTCCACATTGTGGAAACTCACTTGTAGTGTATAAGATGAACTAGATGGACCCATACTTACCCAAACATGGATTAATAGGTTCTACACATGACTATGAGGACAAACATGAGTGAAACGGTCTCAATCCAAGGGAGGAACATCAAATGGACCTAATTTGGGAACCGGAAGAGGTAAGGAGTCCGAAATGTACCTCTGTGACTCCACATTGTGGAAACTCACTTGTAGTGTATAAGATGAACTAGATGGACCCATACTTACCCAAACATGGATTAATAGGTTCTACACATGACTATGAGGACAAACATGAGTGAAACGGTCTCAATCCAAGGGAGGAACATCAAATGGACCTAATTTGGGAACCGGAAGAGGTAAGGAGTCCGAAATGTACCTCTGTGACTCCACATTGTGGAAACTCACTTGTAGTGTATAAGATGAACTAGATGGACCCATACTTACCCAAACATGGATTAATAGGTTCTACACATGACTATGAGGACAAACATGAGTGAAACGGTCTCAATCCAAGGGAGGAACATCAAATGGACCTAATTTGGGAACCGGAAGAGGTAAGGAGTCCGAAATGTACCTCTGTGACTCCACATTGTGGAAACTCACTTGTAGTGTATAAGATGAACTAGATGGACCCATACTTACCCAAACATGGATTAATAGGTTCTACACATGACTATGAGGACAAACATGAGTGAAACGGTCTCAATCCAAGGGAGGAACATCAAATGGACCTAATTTGGGAACCGGAAGAGGTAAGGAGTCCGAAATGTACCTCTGTGACTCCACATTGTGGAAACTCACTTGTAGTGTATAAGATGAACTAGATGGACCCATACTTACCCAAACATGGATTAATAGGTTCTACACATGACTATGAGGACAAACATGAGTGAAACGGTCTCAATCCAAGGGAGGAACATCAAATGGACCTAATTTGGGAACCGGAAGAGGTAAGGAGTCCGAAATGTACCTCTGTGACTCCACATTGTGGAAACTCACTTGTAGTGTATAAGATGAACTAGATGGACCCATACTTACCCAAACATGGATTAATAGGTTCTACACATGACTATGAGGACAAACATGAGTGAAACGGTCTCAATCCAAGGGAGGAACATCAAATGGACCTAATTTGGGAACCGGAAGAGGTAAGGAGTCCGAAATGTACCTCTGTGACTCCACATTGTGGAAACTCACTTGTAGTGTATAAGATGAACTAGATGGACCCATACTTACCCAAACATGGATTAATAGGTTCTACACATGACTATGAGGACAAACATGAGTGAAACGGTCTCAATCCAAGGGAGGAACATCAAATGGACCTAATTTGGGAACCGGAAGAGGTAAGGAGTCCGAAATGTACCTCTGTGACTCCACATTGTGGAAACTCACTTGTAGTGTATAAGATGAACTAGATGGACCCATACTTACCCAAACATGGATTAATAGGTTCTACACATGACTATGAGGACAAACATGAGTGAAACGGTCTCAATCCAAGGGAGGAACATCAAATGGACCTAATTTGGGAACCGGAAGAGGTAAGGAGTCCGAAATGTACCTCTGTGACTCCACATTGTGGAAACTCACTTGTAGTGTATAAGATGAACTAGATGGACCCATACTTACCCAAACATGGATTAATAGGTTCTACACATGACTATGAGGACAAACATGAGTGAAACGGTCTCAATCCAAGGGAGGAACATCAAATGGACCTAATTTGGGAACCGGAAGAGGTAAGGAGTCCGAAATGTACCTCTGTGACTCCACATTGTGGAAACTCACTTGTAGTGTATAAGATGAACTAGATGGACCCATACTTACCCAAACATGGATTAATAGGTTCTACACATGACTATGAGGACAAACATGAGTGAAACGGTCTCAATCCAAGGGAGGAACATCAAATGGACCTAATTTGGGAACCGGAAGAGGTAAGGAGTCCGAAATGTACCTCTGTGACTCCACATTGTGGAAACTCACTTGTAGTGTATAAGATGAACTAGATGGACCCATACTTACCCAAACATGGATTAATAGGTTCTACACATGACTATGAGGACAAACATGAGTGAAACGGTCTCAATCCAAGGGAGGAACATCAAATGGACCTAATTTGGGAACCGGAAGAGGTAAGGAGTCCGAAATGTACCTCTGTGACTCCACATTGTGGAAACTCACTTGTAGTGTATAAGATGAACTAGATGGACCCATACTTACCCAAACATGGATTAATAGGTTCTACACATGACTATGAGGACAAACATGAGTGAAACGGTCTCAATCCAAGGGAGGAACATCAAATGGACCTAATTTGGGAACCGGAAGAGGTAAGGAGTCCGAAATGTACCTCTGTGACTCCACATTGTGGAAACTCACTTGTAGTGTATAAGATGAACTAGATGGACCCATACTTACCCAAACATGGATTAATAGGTTCTACACATGACTATGAGGACAAACATGAGTGAAACGGTCTCAATCCAAGGGAGGAACATCAAATGGACCTAATTTGGGAACCGGAAGAGGTAAGGAGTCCGAAATGTACCTCTGTGACTCCACATTGTGGAAACTCACTTGTAGTGTATAAGATGAACTAGATGGACCCATACTTACCCAAACATGGATTAATAGGTTCTACACATGACTATGAGGACAAACATGAGTGAAACGGTCTCAATCCAAGGGAGGAACATCAAATGGACCTAATTTGGGAACCGGAAGAGGTAAGGAGTCCGAAATGTACCTCTGTGACTCCACATTGTGGAAACTCACTTGTAGTGTATAAGATGAACTAGATGGACCCATACTTACCCAAACATGGATTAATAGGTTCTACACATGACTATGAGGACAAACATGAGTGAAACGGTCTCAATCCAAGGGAGGAACATCAAATGGACNTAACCCAAAATGTGACAAAACTAAGAACCAAAAATTGGAGATTTGTTTATGTATAATTATAAAAGAAAAATATTAAAAAAAATTAAAATTAAAAATTAAAAGTTGTAAAGGATTTTGTATCAACGAATTTTTTAGAAAATGTAAAAAATAGAAAGAACACTCATAAAAAAAGTTTTAAGAAAACATAAAAGCGGAATTCGCGGGATAAAATACCTAGTATTATAGCATTTTGTGGATGTAATCATTTTCAATTAAATTTGATCCGTTGTGCACTATAGATTTATCGATACATTAAATTTGGTCAATAATATATACTGATACATATCAAAAACATCATGATACATATCACTATAGCAAAGCATCACGAAAGACAAGAGTAGGACCATTGATATGATTTGACCGGTACATATCATTTTTCTAATAACCGACCTGCACAGTAGCGCGGGGATACATTTTCAGTTTAGTTTTATTTAGGTTATTTACTTATTTATGTTTATTTATTTCATATAATTGGGTTTTTTCTTCATTTATTTCAATGTATGTTTCCATTAGTATAATAGATATTGACTATAACAATTATTTATTAATAATAAAATCAATCCCAAAAATATATTTATAAAATTAAAAAAAAACTAGTCAAGTTCAGAAAAGAAAAATTAAATGAGAGGGAAAGAGACGACAATAGCACTCCTAATTCTTATGAGCAGAAGTACAAGGAGATGAAATATAACTATGATCAGACGGTCTAAACCTAAGCTCACAGCTAAGGTTACACTCGAACCTAACCGATCCTAATGGTCCGACTCGCCATCGAGCCTTTGACCCACCTTTAAGCTGGAACGTAATCACATCTTGTTTAACCGCAAAGTCTATGGCTTCCATCATTGTTGGATTCAGTGGTATTGGATATGACTGAACCAAGTAATTAGATAATACAGATCTCTCTTTGTCAACTTCAAACTCGTCTTGTCTTAAATACGCAATTGTTTTACCTTCGTAAATTAGTTTAAACTCGGTTTTATCAAACAAAGCGTGAGCCTTGGCGTTATCATTCTCCGCTCGTATCACAATTGTTAACTGCGTTTGCATGACTCCAACTATATCATACCTTGTCAAAACAAACAAAAAAAAAATGATTTAATGATAATCAAGATTTAAAGATTCAGAAAAGGGGAAGAAGAGTTGGTACTTTAAGAGGTCGAGGTGAGCACCATCGACACTAATGATTGGAACTCGAGGGTGAATAACCATGTAACCGACGAAGACTACAATGCCACCAAAGATCACGACGATAGAGATAATAGCACAAATGATGGCTGCACACCATATGAAGGGACTTGTACCATGACGAGAAGTCAATCTTGGCATTATTATTATTATGTGGCTCTCGGACTAGGATTTTGGTTAGGGATTGATGAGACAGCATCCGGGCTGGGACCAAGTTCTTGGCTTTTTGGTGGGTTTGTGGTGGTGAGGGTTTGAGAATTGAATTGAAGGATTTGGGTACTTAACCCTAATAGGTAGGGAAAGTCTTTGGTATCTTTTCTTTCCCTTGGTGTAAAGGCAAAATGGGTTTCACAAGTAACATACATAATTTGTAGGTTTGTACAATAAAGCTGTAAACTTGCCAAAATTTAAGGAATCTTCTTCTTCAAATATGTAAAGCATCTATTGCAAATTCTTAACTTGCAAGTGTTACTAACTTTAGCTTATATTTATATGTATACTAAATATTAAAAAACAGAGCATCTGAAGTATGTATTTAAAAATTTGCATATTACCAAAAGGTTCATAGCATACTTTTTTTGTTTTTCTCTACATGGAGAAGAACCAACATTCTCTCCTGAGGCTTAAAGCTCATCAGACAAAAAAAAATGGAACATGAACTTGCCAATATGATCTGCCTAAAACCGTTTTTACCTTAAAACAGAAATAAAAAAACAGCGGTAACATAAGGAAGTGACCAGTTTTGAGGAAGACAAAACTCATCAGGTCAGAAATGTGGGTTTCTGCCTCTGCCTCTCCCACCAGAGTAGTAACCGTAACCGTAACCGTGACCTGGGTTTGAGTAGTAGTTGTTGTTATGGTTATCATATCCGCCTCTGTAGTTGGTTTGTGCAGCGAGATATGCACCTTGACCTGGTTGTGGTGGAAGTGGCCTTTGAAAATGGTTACCATATACCTGAAACAAGGATGATGAAGAAGAGAGCATACAATTTACAAACTGAGGGACAAAATATTAAGATGTTTGGGTTAGTGAATACAGAAAAGAAGAAACAAACCTCAGGATTTTGTCTCATGTGCTCGGGAAACTGGGTGTGTTGTTGTTGTTGTTGTCCGCTTCTTGGCACTTGGTTAAGTTGATTGCACGAGATTGTGTCGAAAAAGTCATCCTTGTTATAAGCAGGCTGCAACAAGCAAATAAGAAATGTCAAGAGCTTGAGAATCAGATCTTCATTTACAAGTTGGAAATGAATGAGTACCTTTGTCTTCCCTTCTTCGCTTGGCTCAACTGCAGTTTCTTCCCTGTGATTGTTTTTTCCGAGAAACCCCCATAGTTCACTCTTCTTGAATTTTTCATTCATTGCCTCAAAATCAAATTCTTCAGTGTACTCAATGCTAGAACTAGGGATCCGAGACTGCCAACACATTTAGAACCAGAAAAAGGACCAAATTAGAAACTGTGGCATGTATTGCAAAAAAAGATACAAACAACTTTCAATAGTTAGTCAAACTTCCAAGAGAGAGACAGAGGCTAAATTATCACTGCGATTGACATCATGAATCTACGAGCCAATGTATATCATGTAGAAATTACGAGAAAACATAAGGAATAGAAATTTTAGAAAACGAAACCTGGTGAGCTGGAACTGGAAGAGGCAGCAACGGCGCTTGATATGTTCGTGATAGCACATTCGCTGATGCCTGGTTAGTTGCACCAAACATCTCCTGACCCCTATTGACCATTTGCTGCCTAGGTTGCTGTAACGGCTGCATGCCGAAGAATGACGGAGGCGAGTTCGAAAACGGACCAGGAGGTGAACCAGAAGGTACAGATCGGTTGGGATGGTTAGACCCAGCAGAGTCAAAGAAACCATTACCACCAGCCTGGGGTGCAATGGGGTAACTGTTCTGAGCATAAGGAGCAGAAAGCTGTGATGAAGCAGCAATGCCAGGTGGAGTATGGAGTTGTGCTTGACCAAGAGGAGAAGGGTTAGAATATGATGACGGATTAGGATTAGAAGCTAGGTCGGTTGGACGAGTAACAACCTGCGTTGTATCATTCACTAATCCCATGATTGGTGAAGCAAAAGCATCTATAATCTGCGGTTTGTTAAGAGGAACACCACCAGTAGAAGCTAGACTGTTTCCTTGCACAAAAGAAGGCATGGGCATAGACGGACCAACATTACTATGAGTTCCCTCAAAAGTATTAGCTGAAGGGACCGGTGAATGTTGAGTGGCAGGAACCGGTTTACTAGTCAAACCAGGTGTGTGGCCCCATTCTGCTCCTCTCCCCAAACCATAACCAGAAACCGGAGGGCTCATAGCTGGCCGAGACTGTAAATAAGGTTGCCGGCATAAGAGTCGATGAAAAATCATGCAAAGAGATAGTTTTGAACAGAGAGATATCATGACATTTTACCTGATTGATGTTCTGTTCACTTTGAATCTCCTGTCTTGGTTGTGCAGATGGAGTAGGGTTCACTTGCAGATCCTGAAAAACGCCAAAAAAACAGTACAAACTCAGAAAGACCATTACGAAATACATGATGTAGAAGAAGGTAAGAGTTTGAAGACTAACCTTGATGTCACTTCCGCGGAAAAGAATGTACTCATAAACTCTATCACATGGCGGAACTTGTGGCCCATCTTTCTTCCTCCCCTCTGTTCCACAGTTTCTTACTGCAAAAACCAATTCAATAAGTAAACATATGAGTGTTGATTTTTGCTTTTGGTCAGAGCTACCAGATTTTATACACTCTCCCACTAAATGTCAACACAAGTTTGAATTGAAACTACTTATAAGCAAATGTTCAACCTAAGACCAAATCCAGGACGCATAATCACACACAAGAAGGGAATCAGAATCACTCCAAACAAAAACAAAGCGATAGAGAGAGATACACTCAGTGTCCGGGTAACAAATACACAATCATAAGGATTGTAAATCTACGTTGGAAAAACTAGAAATAGGAAAATCCGAAAATCGAAAGAGGTTATCGAATCCGCACCGTTTTGGAGACCTAGCGTAGAGTCCTGAACATTTAGATGGCACAGAATGCCTTCGTAACGGATCTCGTACTTGGAAATTAGACTGATGAAGCTCCCTATGAACGTATCGCCGACATTGCTGCCCATCGACGGAGAAGGTAGAGATGACGGCGACGGCGAGGAAGATTGGGAACTCTCGCTCGCCATTTCGGGAGATTATCAGTGGACAACAAACGATGGAAAAACGTAGAACGAATCAGAGCGTGAAATCGATTAGGGTTCTTGCGCTTTATCTCCTGTTGTTATGTTGATTTTTGAATAATCTCTCTCTTTGGCTCGGAACCGTCATGGCTCGAGTTCGTCTCCGTCGTGGTATTGTAAAGGCGGGGAGATCTGTGTGCCGTTGGTCCATCTTTGAGAATATTTGGGCCTTTTCGAAGCCCACTTTCTTAAATTCATTTTTAATTTAAAATATAAAATCTAATGAGCGTTTTTAATCAAATTTATGGGCTTTTCTAAACCACTAAAAATGTTGGATTGAACCGGTTTACACGGAAGAGACAATTTACGATTTAGAATCTCTAGTTACTCTGATAATTTTTTTGGTAAAATACTTCCTATGATACTTATGACAATAACGTGAAAGATTGTGATGATATCAAAAGTAGCTGACACTTTAATGGAGTATGAACTTCAAGATTTCATCAACAGATGAATTTAGTTGTTTGATATTAGATCATTTGTGTTTTTATTTGTCTTTGGCTAATCACTTATATCTATTCAATTAATTGCCAATCCCGTGGGTTAGCCACTATTCAACCAGTATAGTAATGTACAGTACAGTCACTTCTCCACTTTAACAGACTGTTTATCCTTCACAATCAATTAAACCATACAATTCCAATGTAAACAATTGCTATTTATTTAAGTTATTATCAAAGATGATGATACTCTTACCTAATAACGAAAATATAATAAAGATAGATACTTTAGCAGGATGAAATTGTTAGAACCACAATTTAGACACTACAGTAAACTGAAAATTGTAAAGAATTATAAAAATAAAATACAATAATATTTTATCAAAGAACAAGAATTTGGTGATGGATTTGCAGAGGCAAGATACTATCTTTTTCCTTAACTCAAAAATCACCCCGTAGTATGCCGGTTCTATGGTGATTATAATCCCACAATACAAATGCAACAATCTTCTGATTTGTAACACTCAGTCAGAAGCCTATCGAACCTAATTTTGTGTGTACTCTCACACTCAAGAAACAAAAAAAAAGACTAAACTTGTGGTGATTGTTTTCAATGTTAAATGAATGATTTTTCTATTAAGCTCAAGAGCCTTTATATAGAAGAATAATAAGATCAAGTGATATAATTGTATGGTATTAGTATTGACCAAAACCATATCACACATATGACCACGACATTATAGCACAAAGATATTTGTTTTGACCACATTTTGAAGCAATAGTATTTCAATACATGGATTTCTTTTTTTTGTGTTATATTATATCTTAAACAAAAGATAAACTTCAATTTGGTCATAAATAATAAGTTAATGGACTTGATATCCAATTAACAATTATAAACCCAAACTCAAATCCAAATATCTAATATATATGGGCTATTTGTTAATTTTTACATTTAGCTAAATATATAAAGCTTTATAAACTTTTATAAACACCCATTTATAAACTCCATTTTTCATTCAAATCAACTCTGATTTTGACATATGAATACAATATTTCATAGTGTTCATGGCGACGATTCTTTATTGCCTAACATATGGTTTTTCCGACAAACGTCTTCACCGGAAAACCAACCGGAAAATGGCCTTAAACCATTTTGTCAAAAACGAGTTCCAACAATCCTCCATAAGAATAGAAATGACTCAAGACAAAGGAAGAAAAGACTCAAAAAAGGACTTTTGAGAGTACAAACGAAAAATCCACTGTATATGAGTTGGTAGCATTTTTCAGCCTTGAACCAAATCACTGTTAATAGCTATCGGGTTTACTCGACCAAGAGGTGAACATGATGTCTTGAACCTCTCGGGCTTTGATGTAAACCAAGACAACAACTATAACACAGTTTCATTCTCTCACAGAACTAGGTTCTCTATTGTGTTCATTTTGGCCATGAACATACTTGGATAAACATGAGTGAAGTTGGAGAATATAGTCTTTTATTCATTCTCTAAAAACGGTCCCATTTCACACTCACAAGGTGATTCACTAGTAACTTTGTTTAAAGGAGTATCATGTACTACTTCATGTATATTTCAAAGTTATGACCCAAATCATTAAAAGCTAATGCTTATCCTCTATACCATACATGTAACACTTTTATCATCCTAGGAACTGGGAAGAAATATAAATCTCATAGTTTTTTGGGCAGATTCAGTTTAACTTAGTTTTCCCCTTGAACCTATTTCTTGGGATCTCGAATCATTTATTTAGGGTTACCATCAAACATCCTCTTAAATTATAGGCTTTTAACCCATTCCTCTTGTTGAACCAGAGAATACCAAATCCATTATTGTGAAGTTTTTTTTTATTATTATTAAGAACAGGTATTCTCTGATGGTTCAATATTCAATCTAGAATTATTTTCTAGAATTTTTATTTCGGGAAAAATATTTTTCTCAGGAATAATGTTAATCAGCTCTTACCATTATTGGTTTATAAGAGGATTTTATTAGAGCTCAATATCCTTTTATTTGATTTATTTTATTGTCATTATTTAAATTTCAGAATTATTATTTTCAAGAACTGTTAATTATTATATTCTGGAAAATTAATTTTCCGTAATATTTTAATTATTTAATTGTCTCAAAATTATTTTATATTGTTATATTGTTGTTAATTCTGGACTAAGCAACTAATTTGTTTGCCACAAAACATATTTTAATTGTTTTGGTTTACCGGTTTAATGTTGCGGTTATGTTCTCATTGTTGTACTTTCTATGTTGACTTTCTAAGAATTATTAACATAAAAAGTTAGCATATTTGTTTTGTCACTTGCTGTGTTCACTTAATCGTGGAGTTTGAATTCATTCTGAATTATTAATTATTTAGAATTTTATTCTGAATTTTATTTTTAATTTAATTAGTTATTGTGATTTGATTAATTGCAATATTATTCCATTGAACTTGTGACTTGGTATTTTTATAGGTATATTAATTTGTTTGCTTTCTTGTGAACAGATTTGAATTCACTATGACTATTGACAACTAAGTTGGACTTGATGGACAAAACATGGTTGCTCCCATTGATGGAACCATTGGAGGTGGTGCTCTTTGAAATGGAAATAGGTTAAGTGAGTCGACGCCCCAATTTGAGAGTGGTCAGCCACTTACAAAGTCTTCAATACCTGGCGCTATAAGCGTAAGATTGATGCCAGAAAAGTTTGGTGGGAATGAGTTCAAAACTTGGCAACAAAAGATGTTTTTCTTTTTGACCAATTTGGGCCTTAACAAGTATCTGAAAGATGATGCACCCGTTGTCCCACCAGGGAACACTGATTCAACCATTATGGATCCCTGGATCCAGTCAGACTTTTTGTGCAAGGGCTCGATTCTAAGCCGCTTGATAGACCTATTGAACATTGTGTACTGTGAGGCGAAAACCTCCAAGCAACTTTAGCTGGCCTTGGAGAAGAAGTATAAGTCCGAGGATGCTGTCAGAAATACGCTACGGCGAAATTTCTCAACAGAACAAGTTGAAGCCTTGCAATTGATTATGCATGAGATAGCGGCTGAGGGTATGTCGATTTGTGAAATTTTCACTGTCAATTCCTTCATTGAGAAGCTTCCTCCAGGGTGGATGGACTTCAAAAACTATCTCACTCACAAGCGTAAGGCAATTACCCTCGAGAACTTAATTGTCAGCTGCGGGTTGAATCCCGAAACCGCGAAGCTGATGCTGTTTTCATTCGTACGAATGATGTGAACTTGGCTGAGCAAAAGAGAAATGGGAAAGGACAAATTCCTCCACACTCCTCCACAAGCTTCAAGAAGCAAGCTGAACCAAAGAAGTTCAAATGGAAGTGCCACAAGTGTGGCAAGATGGGCCACAAAGCTAATGTTTACTGTAGCAAAGCTGGTCCAAGTGAAGACAAAGGAAGTCTCAAGCTCACCTCACAGAAGAAGACTGTGTGTTGTGGTCACTGAAGTCAACAATGTTGAGGACAACCCAAGGGAGTGGTGGTATGACACAGGTGCCACTACCCACATCTGCAATGATAGGGACATGTTTAGTACCTATCAGAAATGCAACAATGGAGAACGCCTATTGATGGGAAACACTGGTTCTTCCAAGATTGAGGGTCGAGGCAAAGTTGTGCTGAAGATGACCTCGGGAAATAATCTGATTTCTGGTACGCTTATGAGTAAGGCCGGATTTGCTACCAATTTCGAGTCTGACAAGCTTGTGCTCAAGAAACATGGGTTTACTTGGGGAAAGGGGTATGTTAAGGATGGACTTGTCAAAATGTGTGTCATGCCAGTCATCCGAAACTGAGTTGTAACTCCTAAGAATAATGTTGTTTCTGTTTTTTCAATCAATAAGAATAATAATGTTTCTTTTTTTTATTAAGTTTTTTCTATATTTGTTATGAATGGTTAAGGCATGAAATTATATATCTATAAGAGATTGTTTAATTCATACTTATTTCCAAAATGCAAATCAAGTAAAGAGAAATGTGGGGGAAAAGCATTGCTTACCACATAAAGTCATTTAACAAAATGTTTTATGAACTTTGAGAAAAGGGGCCAAGTACATTTGTACAATACCTTGAAAATGTGGGGGTACATGAAAAATTGAAATGCTACCTCCTAAATATTTAAAAACAATTGATCTCAAAATGAAATCTTAATAGATTATATTCAAGTAAATGACAACCTAGGATCCAAATATTAAAGGTGTGTCATGAGATCAAGTTGTAAAATCATCAAGAGGAATGGGTTAAAAGCCTATGATTTAAGAGGATGTTTGATGGTAACCCTACCTAAATGACTGGAGATCCCAAGAAATAGGTTCAAGGGGAAAACTAAGTTAAACTGAATCTGCCCAAAACACTGTGAGATTTATATCTCTTCCCAGTTCCTAGGATGATAAACAGTGTTACATGTATGGTATAGAGGATAAGCATTAGCTTTTAATGATTTGGGTCCATAACTTTGAAATATACATGGAGTAGTACATGATACTCCTTTAAACAAAGTTAATGGTGAATCACCTTGTGAGTGTGAAATGGGGCCGTTTCTAGGAGAATAAATAAAAGGCTATATTCTCCAACTTCACTCATGATTATCCAAGTATGTTCATGGCCAAAATGAACACAATAGAGAACCTAGTTCTGTGAGAGAATGAAACTGTGTTATAGTTGTTGTCTTGGTTTACATCAAAGCCCGAGAGGTTCAAGACATCATGTTCACCTCTTGGTCGAGTAAACCCGATAGCTATTAACAGTGATTTGGTTCAAGGCTGAAAAATGCTACCAACTCATATACAGTGGATTTTTCGTTTACTCTCAAAAGTCCTTTTTGAGTCTTTTCTTCTTTGTCTAGACTCATTTCTATTCATGTGGGGGATTGTTGGAACTCGTTTTTGACAAAATGGTTTAAGGCCATTTTCCGGTTGGTTTTCCGGTGAAGACGTTTGTCGGAAAAAACCATATGTTAGGCACGAAAGAATCGTCGCCATGAACACTATGAAATAGTATATTCATATGTCAAAATCAGAGTTGATTTGAATGAGAAATGGAGTTTATAAATGGGTGTTTATAAAAGCTTATAAAGCTTTATATATTTAGCTAAGTGTAAAATTAGCAAATAGCCCATATTAGATATTTGGATTTGAGTTTGGGTTTATAATTGTTAATTGGATATCAAATCCATTAACTTATTATATGAACCAAATTAAAGTTATCTTTTGTGTTAAGATTAATTTACACAAAAAAAAAAGAAATCCATGCATTGAAATATTATTGCTTTAAAATTGATCAAAGCAAATATCTTTGTGCTATAATGTCGTGGTCAAAAGTCATATTATGACTTAATGATAATTATGCGTTATGATACTCTTCATTATGTGTGATATGGTTTTGGTCAATACGAAGATTATACAATTATATCACTTGATCTCATTATTCTTCTATATAAAGGCTCTTGAGCTTAATAGAAAAATCATTTATTCAACATAGAAAACAATCAGCACAAGTTTAGTCTCTTTTATTTTTTTTTCTTTTTCTTGAGTCTAAGAGTACATACAAAATTAGGTTTGATAGGCTTTTGATTGAGTGTTGCCAATGAGAAGATTGTTGCAGTTGTATCTTGGGACTCTAATCAGCATAGAACCGGAACACTACGGGTGATTTTTGAGTTAAGAAAAAAGATAGTATCTTGCCTCTGCAAATCCATCACCAAATTCTTGTTCTTTGGTAAAATATTATTGTATTTTATTTATGTAATTTTTTACAATTTTCAGTTTATTGTAGTGTCTAAATTGTGGTTCTAACAGTCTTAACTCAAAAATTCGTTTATTGCTTTATTTGCACTAACCGGACTGATTATTGTGAAGTTTTGTTTTTGAGTTAAGACTGTTAGAACCACAATTTAGACACTACAGTAAACTGAAAATTGTAAAGATTTACCGAAATAAAATACAATAATATTTTACCAAAGAACAAGAATTTGGTGATGGATTTGTAGAGGCAAAATACTATCTTTTTCCTTAACTCAAAAATCACCTTATAGTGTGCCGGTTCTATGGTGATTAGAGTCCCAAGATACAACTGCAACAATCTTCTGATTTGCAACACTCAGTCAGAAGCCTATCGAACCTAATTTTGTGTGTACTCTTAAACTCATGAAAAAGAAGAAAATTAAAAGAGACTAAACTTGTGGTGATTGTTTTCTATGTTGAATAAATGATTTTTCTATTAAATTCAAGAGCCTTTATATAGAAGAATAATGAAATCAAGTGATATAATTGTATGATCTTCGTATTGACCAAAACCATATCACACATAATAAAGAGTATCATAACGCATAATCAACATTAAGTCATAGTATGACTTTTGACCACGACATTATAGCACAAAGATATTTGCTTTGACCACATTTTAAAGCAATAATATTTTAACACAAAAGATAAACTTCAATTTGGTCCATAATAATAAGTTAATGGACTTAATATCCAATTAACAATTATAAACCCAAATTCAAATCCAAATATCTAATATGGACTATTTTTTAATTTTTACACTTAGCTTAATATATAAAACTTTATAAGGTTTTATAAACACTCATTTATAAATCCATTTCCCATTCAAATCAACTCTGATTTTGACATATGAATATACTATTTCATAGTGTTTATGGCGATGATTCTTTCGTGTCTTGGTTTTTCCGACAAACATCTTCACCGGAAAACCATTTTCTGGCTTAAACCATTTTGTCAAAAAGGAGTTCCAACAAAAGTATCACATATATAATTTTTTATAAAGTCAAATACATAGAGTATTACGCCAAAATCCAATTTATTTGAGTGAGCAAATAGAATACTTATTTATAATAGCTTGGTTTAACAAAAAAAAAAACTCTAAATCCTATTACGCCTCAACTCTAGCTCGATCGGAATAGAATGAATCGAACTGTAAGCTCAAAAACAGCAAAAACGAGAGAAGCGTAGAGGAAGTATAAGAAAAAAAGATAAATGAGAACAAATTCAAGTCTCGGTTAAACGTCTACCTAACAAATCAACTAACTCTGACCATTCAGAATTTGTTTTCACTCACCAACCTTGGCAAAGGAATAGCAAAGGGAACCTTTTACCACGAAATGTTTTCACACAAAAAAGCCTATTAGAATTTGTACTTCTGTTGTTTATTGGTTAGATCATGATGCAGTAAACATTAAATATTTATCATGAAACAACCAACATTTTTTTTTTTTAATAAATATTAATCAATTCTAGCGAAGGTCTTAAAAATAAATTAAATAAATAAAATATCAATAACAAATAAATCAGCTCAGCGGAAGCAAATAATAATTAAACAAGTCTAGCAAAATAATGCAAAACAATAAAACAGTAAACATCCTATCATCCCCCTCTTCAGCCTTGATTCCGCGATCACACAAATCTTTTACCTGCAACACATTGGAATGGAGTTGCGTAAGTATTTAATAAATACTTAGTGAGGCAATCACTCTGCCTACGAGCCATTTACGCAATTTACTAGATATTTAATAATATTTATAAACTTCAATAATTATTAAATACCATTTTCCAATTATTAAATAATTTTAATAATTAAAACTCAATTTCTCAATTATTAAATAATTCTCATAATTAAATAATAATTTTCCATATTTTAAAATAATTAAAATAATACCAATTAATTAAATAAATATTATTTAATTAATTAAATCCGAATTAAATCTATTTAATTCCATTAAACCAATTAAATTCAATTAAACCAATTAAATTCAATTGAACCAAGATAAACCAGAATCAAATCAATTAAATTCAATTAAACCAATAAACCAGATTAAACACACAAACACAAAACAACCAAAATATCATAAAAATAACAATTAAAAACATAAACTCATCAAGAACAACCACAAACCAAATCTAATCTAGCAAATCACGGACCCACAGTCATGCACTCACCTTGACAATGATTGAAACTGAAGGAAAAAGGAAGACGATGAACAGTGCCGAATCGCGGATGAACAGTAACCCGTGAACAGTACCGATGAACAGTAACCCGTGAACAGTACCGATGAACAGTAAAATTCGAAAATCTCTCCAAAAACTCAACTTTTCTCCTCTACAGCATCTGAACTCGAAAATTCTCCAAAGAGAAGACGGCTGCACTCTTTAAACTTGATTTTAGGGCTTTCTCCACTAAACCGACCCAAACCAATTCACTTAAATTGAACCGACAAAATTCCCAATTTTTATTTTTGGTTTATGGATGTTACAACTCTTCCCCACTAAACTGGATTCGTCCTCGAATCCCAACGCAAACGTCACAAAGACCACAAAACCCAACCTCGCAAGGCCGCAACACCGGAGATCCTCACTTGATCCCCGAGACAAACGTCATATCTTATGTCATAAACACGTTCCAAGAAAATTTCACTCCTAACTCATCATCCAAACACACCAAACAACTTGTACTGAGGCCCACTTGCACCCAGACAAGTCCACACCGGTCCGCACTGAGGCCCACTTGCACCCAGACGAACCCGAAAACGTCCATACTGAGGCCCACTTGCACCCAGATGAACTAAACTGCTTATACTGAGGCCTACTTGCACCCATATAAGCTACACTCAACTGAGGCCTACTTGCACCCAGAGAGTCTGCCAGAGAACGAAGTCTCCAAAAACATGATGAGTTATTCAGGATCGCAATCCTTAGAGTAAAAATTCCGGAAAATGTCTATAACCATAAGATTAGACCGTCTCACAACCAAAAACTGGTCAAACATGTGTAACATCCGAATACCTTTTCACAACACAAGGCAAAATGAGGAAAAACTGCATCTCATTAAAACTCCAAAATGTATATCGTTACAACGAAAACGAAAATACAATAACACCAAAGCCAAAAATAACAACTGAGGCTACAAAGATGAAATAAGCTCACTCCTCGACCTGCTTGTCGAACCACTTCCTGAACTTCAACTTCATCTTTGCCTCTGGCTCCCAAGTCTCCTCTGTAGAACCACTGCAATCCCACAAAATCCTCAGTAAGGGAATCCTCTTGTTCCTCAGAACCTTTTCCCTCCTCTCTAAAATCCTCATAGGCACTGCCGGCACTGTCAAATCTGGCTGAAGATCCTCTGGAATCCTAGCCACTAACTCCTCTGTAGGGTGAAGACACTTCCTCAGCATCGACACATGAAAAACCTTGTGAAAGGCTTTCATAATCTCAGGCAACTCCAGCCTGTAAGCCAATGGCCCAACTCGCTCCACTACTGGAAACGGACCCATAAATCGCGGACTCAGCTTGTTCTCTGCTATGGATCTGTTAGGACCCCTCAACATAGCCATCTTGAGATAAACTCTATCTCCAACCTGAAACTCAAGCTCTCGTCTGCGTCTATCTGCATAACTCTTCTGCCTATCCTGAGCCTCCTTCATGTTCAGCCTCACAACACGAACCTTCTCTGTCGTCTCCTGAACATAAGTAGCTCCATACATGCTGCGCTCCCCCACTTGGGTCCAGCATAGGGGTGTCCTACATGGCCTCCCATACAAAGCCTCAAATGGAGCCATGCCAATACTCGCCTGAAAGCTGTTGTTGTATGCAAACTCAACTAAGCTCAGGTGATCTGCCCAATGGCCACCCCAATCCAACACACACATCCTCAGCAAATCCTCCAAAGTCTGAATAGTCCTCTCTGACTGACCATCTGTCTGCGGATGATAAGCTGTACTCAGATGCACCTTAGTGCCCATCTCTGCCTGAAACGCCCTCCAAAACTCTGAAGTGAATCTGGGATCACGGTCTGACACAATACTAGCTGGCACTCCATGCAGCCTCACAATCTCTCGCACAAACTTCCTAGCCAAGACAGCAGCTCCATCTGTCTTCTTGATGGCCAAGAAATGTGCAGACTTAGTCAACCGATCCACAATCACCCAGATAGCATCGAAAGTCCTTGAAACAGGTAGTCCAACCACGAAATCCATCGTAATCCTATCCCACTTCCACTCGGGAATGGGTAAACTCTGCAAAAGACCACCCGGAACCTGATGCTCTGCCTTCACCAAGGCACAAGTGTTGCACTTCGCAACCCAATCTGCTACATCCCTCTTCATCCCGACCCAATGATAGTACCTCTTGAGGTCATGGTACATCTTGGTCGCTCCCGGATGAATGGAAAACTTGCTCGCGTGAGCCTCTCC